TGGATGGTGGGGGGTGTATTGTGGCTTTGTTGCACCCAAGTTATTAATAACTGCCACTGGATGGACCGTAACTGCCTCTGCATGGACCATAACTGCCACTGCATGGACCATAACTGCCACTGCATGGACCATAACTGCCACTGCATGGACCATAACTGCCACTGCATGGACCTCCTCCTACCTAAGGAGCCCCTCTGCAGACATGAAAGCAGCTTAAAATGTTTACATTCACTTAGCAAATGCTTTTATCCAAAACAACATACATTTGAGGAAACAGTCAGACAGTCCCAGGAACAACTGAAGGTTAAACACCTTGCTCAAGCGCTTAATGGTGAAATCAACCCGCTAACTCTGTGATTTGAACCAGCGATCACAGACGCCACATTGTAACCCACTGAGCTCTGCAGACAACCCGCTCCACCCCAGCTCATCCTCTTTACGGGAACCTGCAAGATTAAACCAGCGGAAATAGTCACATCACAAAATACGGGCAGGATCACGGTCAGGGAGAGCTGAGGGTCACCGGTTCAGGTTGCAGGAAGGACTTGGTCACTCTAGTAGCGTTTCCACTGACCCACCTTTTGCTCATTTTAATGACGCAAAACTGAAAAACAATTAAACCTCAGTTATCAAAAAAGACCTCCCACATTTTCTTGAGGTGGTATTTGCAAAGATATGGAAAAAGTAATTAGGCACTTTGCACCTAATTATCGCTAGCAAGCCATTTCTCAGGATGCTGCTCTCAGAACAACTCAGGAGAGCTCCACTTCACTTGGAGCTACTAATTGGTGCAAAGTTCACTCCATGCTGAAGATTGAGACATGGGTCTGAATCTCGTGGGATGATACATGGCATGACACTCATTGATGGAAACACCAAGCAAATTCACTTTGTCGGCTTACAGAAAATTCGATTATAATTCATGCAAGAAATTTAATGAGAGCACAGCTAGTGCCCAGAATCCTCCAGTAAAATCTGCATCTACACATACAGAGGAAAGAGCTGCGACGCCTTGTGGGAAAGAACATTAACTCTAATTACATGAGACTGCGTAACAATGGGAAGCCACACTTCCCCATAATGGTCAATGGACCGGCCTAAACGAAAACAGGGCTTAATGCAAAAAGGTCGGCATTTTTTTTTTTTTTACCCCAAAACATAAAACTGCATGGATAAGCCAAAGCAGAACAAAAGCCACCTTGAATGCATAAACAAACAATCACAACCCGCCAATCAGCAATTCTGCCCTCTATGGTTGTCTTTTTGTCAATTATGTGATTTTCAATTCCTTTTCCTAAAGGTTTCTTCAGTTTCGATTCTCTCTGCTCAAACAGGTGGCAGGGAAATTTAAATCTCTTCTCTGTGACAAATGAAAGACCATACTGCTGCCAGTTTCGCCTAGATGATATCATAAATACACTTATCATTGGGCTGGCGCAGCAATCTCCCCTTCGGTGATTTAGGGTGGCTCATCGCCGCAATTTGCGAATGATCATTTATTCAGATTTTAGTGCTATATAAATAAGCTTTATTGCTAGGCTATTATTAGGTATATTCTTGCTTTTTCAATGCGAGTGTTCAAGGATGCATCTGTGGTCCCGTAAACTGGACTAAATTTTAAAAAATACATTATTTTGAAATAAATCATAAAACATAGAAGTTTCTATCCCTTTTAAGTCATTTTCCGATCATAAGGGCATTTAAAAGAAATATAGTTATAATATTTGAACATGGATGCCAGCCTAAATGTGCACTTCTTGTTTACATGAATAATGAAGCACCCACCGCCCAAAAAATACGCTCATCGGTGTCCGTACCGCCACGAGTCCAATGACCGATAACCGTCATAGTGCTTTATTTAAAAAGACAAGCTAAATTGGACAAACACAGAACAAACCAACATCGCCGTGGTTACCCATGGATCTCAACATGTAAATTTCATACACGATTCACAGCTTCCACTGAAAGCTGCTTTTTCTTTCTTTTTTTCTTTTAAACTGAAACTCACCAGCAGGAGATGTGCGCAGGTGGAGGGATTAATTACACTATTAGTCATATTTAACACAAGCGCTGAACTGTAAAACAAGAGGGCCCTAGTCCCACAAAACAAATAAATAAAATAAAGATTTAAAAAAAGGTCAAATACATGATCATAGTGGTTGTGGCATTTGACTTGTCAATTCTGCAGTCACCACGACGGCCCTAACTCATCATGCAAGATTTAGACGATAAGAAAATGATAAAACGTGAATAAATTGTCAGTAAGGAATATTGCTTGATGGTACATGGCCTCCCTGACGCTGCACAGAACCCGCCGTGATTCCAACTAATCACTGTCTTATGGACAGACCTCGACTCAAGAAATGCACTGCAAGTTCGACTGAATTAGCGGAACGCGGCACGTGGTACAGTTTTTGTAGAAAGCGTTAGGGATGGGAGATATCACAGATTTTCTTTTCGATCCGGCTGCAAGTAATATCAAGGTTGGTAGCCTGATACAAACACCTTCACCGATATTGGGGCCAAGGCCGACGATTTCGGGTGGGATGACAGCAAATTTAATCAGATAAACATTACTAGCTAAAAATATATTTTTAAACTTTAGAACTGATTCTCAAAATGAAACATTCAGACCGGACGCACTGATATTTCAGTAGGTATCTTCAATCCACACATCCTTAATATACTCGGGTCACGGGAGGGATGTGGGCTCCTTCAAAGGAAACTTCGGGGCGAACAAAATGACAGATTAGCAGCTACATCATCTTTTTAAAAAACTGCGGATAAACAAGGTAAAAAGACGCCAGTGGCGGAAATTTAGAGTCCAACATGAAGCAGACTGGTGCAGCGCACAGTAAACTCTGCTGAAACCTCGCGCCAATTAAAACTGGAAATACCGAGAACCAGTTTCACCACCTGAAGCACTGCCGTCCAGTAGAACGTAGAGAATGCGAGTGTTTACAGTGTTACAGTGGCAGACTCCGGCGATGTCAAATCCATCCACTGGAACGAGCTGCAAGGCAGAGAGAAAAACCCAGCAACAAACCGTACTGTCGGCATTCACTGGTGTTTTTGCCCAACAACAAAGTTACATTTCCTAAGGCTAAATTTAAAATTAGCTCTCGGTTTGCAATCCATTCAATGTGTGGTAATTTAACACATTCTGAATCTGTTTATGGGGAATCCTAAGGAAATTTTAAGGGGAAAAAAATGGAGTGTTGAAATAATATTGTGATGATATCACTATGGACTGATAGACAAAAAAAAAAATTTTTTGCCATAAAAATCAACTGACCGTATTCCCAATATTTTTGGGGTAATAATGGCTTCTTACAAAAAGAAGCACACGATAGCAGTGAAAAGCAGAGCTCCAGGTCACTGCATTGGCATGTCAGAAATGCAGTGAACAAATCTGTGACAGTCATGCATTCTGCCGCTACTCTGGCCTCGTCAACTACTTTCCCCACAATATACAACCAACACTAATACAGGTTAAGAAAAACAAGGCTGACAAGATTACTCTCAAATTTGACAGAAACCCACACTACACTTAACATCAGTAGTACAGTACTATAGTTTTACAGTGCTGTGCAAATGTCTCAGTCAAAGAAAATATTTCAATAAACTTCTGGTGGTTGTGAAACCATGAGATCATGTCTGTTAAAGTGCATCAGTTTAGCCATTTCAAAAACCAGGATGTGCAGCAATCATGCAAATCACCTTTCTGACTTCAACACAACTGAAGCGGTGTTCATCTAGTCACCCAGGAAGATATCGGTAACATTCTGGAGAATATGTTCTTGTTAGTTTTTATTGTTACTCGTAATTTGCATATGTTCTAATGTTACATTGTGTTCTTTTTCATTCTGAGCAAATATACATCTACCCAGATAAATAGCTTTAAACATTTAGACTGACTGCCTAAGACTTTTACACAGTACTGTATATGAACACGAGTATTAAAACAAACATTAACGCTGCAGTATTACTACACATATTTACAGAAGTAAATATTTATCGGGGAGAGATATTTTTAAAAACAAGCGGAAGCACATTGCCCAGAGGACAAAGACGGCTTTTTGCAAAACACAGCGAGCGTATTGCTAAACAATAGTCACATAAATGATAAACTTTCCATCCCACGGCTGTGTTTACAGACCACAACAGAGATCAAAAGCACGAGAAATATATAAACTAAATATGACACCAGGGCTAGTTTATACGGAGACCATGGGGGTGCAATCTGTATTTCTTGCCATGGTCTCCCCAAGCGATCCACAGGTTCAACAAAACTGACTATGAGAAACAAACCATTCTGCAGTCGCTCCGGAACATATGAAATACACCATCCCCCCTGCATGATGCCACAAAACTGAGTATATTGCCCTGGAATGGAACAGTGTGCCCTCCCACACAGGATCTGCCAAAGATTAAAAAATAATCTGCATTTATTTAAGCAACAGACAAACGGCAAATTTATATCAGCAAGACATTGGACAGGATTTTCAGTCTGCCACATCAAATCCAACGGCTGTGAATCTTCCCCCACAAAACTACTGGACAGTTTAAATAGGATTACAAATCTGAAATGGTCATATGATGAGCTCTTCTGACTGAGCGCTGTCACCAAGCAGACTGAACGACCCCTGTTTCAGAGGGAGAGGAAACACACGCACACACACACACACACGCACACACACACACACACACACAAATGTCCTCACAAAAGCTGCACTGTGCTCTCTTGAAAGAAAATGCTGAAATTAAAAAGTATTCACAAACAAAATAAGTTAGCTTCAGTTAAAAGTTCATGGCCAACTAATTAGAGTAAAAATAAAAATTAAAACAAAGAGCAGTACAACATAACCAATGAAAGCAAGTTATGCTTCATTGGACAGATGATGTTGCACAAGAAACAAAACCTCAAACACACGCTTGAATAAACCAACACTTCAAGCTTCAGGAGCTCAGGGCCACATGGTCGTGGAGGAGACGCTTACCCAAGGGGAAGGATAGCCGAGGAACCAGCTTTGTCACAGAGACCTCTAGGTGGCCCAGAAGGACCAGGACGAAGAGTAAGCGGACGGCCATGGTGGTCCCAACGGGAGGAATGCGGCGAGGCACGCTGGTACTCAGGCTTTCTGGGTGCTTCCGTGTGATGGGGGGTTGGTGCGTCACAGTGATCTCTGCCAGGGTTTGGAGACACAGCGTTACCACTTCCTCCGACTGCCACCTATAGTCATCGCATCTGCTGGGGAGACAGACAACGGACGGGGAAGAACAGTATGCAGGTCACATGACAGAACAGCAATGGGCGGGGCTTGGGGACTGGGACCGTCTATAGGCTACAGGCCGCCTGTTCTCTGGGCCCGAGAACACATGCACCAAACTGGACCTACTGCCAACACCAAGAAAGCTTGCGATTTAGAGATAATGGAAAAAGTACTACTAACGTACGTCAGCCTTTTCAGCATTTTAGGTCCCGCTGATCATTAGAGCTAGTGTATTTTAGATAGGAACATATCTGGGCCATAATACTCCATGGTGTTTTCATTTAATATACACACCGGCACAGTAGCGAAGGATACACTGCGAAAAAGACAAGCGGTGGTTTTAAGCTGGGGTCATCTTAACTTAAACTGGCTTTGTTTTAATCACATGTAACTCTACTTTGTTATTTTAAGCATATGAATCATAGCTTGTAAATGTTATTTATCTGTCCATAAACCATCAGAAAACATTAACACACTATCTAGCCTGCAAACTGGTTTTACACAAGGACAGCTTGCATAACCTGTAAGCCTCCGCCATCTCCAGCACATTTTAACACATTAACACCCTCGTGGATCATTGCTCAACAGAGATAGACAATCCATGACCATAAACTTTTCTTTTTAAATAAAAAAAAGTGAAATACTTCACACTGCTGCTCAACTTCCAGATGAGTGAACATTTACTGCAGCACCAAGAAATAAATAATTCTGCTTTCTGGAAGTTTTCTGATTTAAAAATAGTGAAATTAAGGGTCCAAATTTTTCAGACAGTAGAACAGGAAATGGGAAGATTTGTCAGGTGACTGTGATACTTGTGGCCCAAGGAATGACCAGATTACATCTTTACTGGAAATATAAGGGGGTGATCGCACATTACAAAACTTCACTACACAGGTATAATTGATCAATTAGACTGACAATCTTTTGATGATCATGGACCTGTAAAGCTTGTCAAGTGGGGAGGAGAAGAGCTACTGGTAAAGCTTGTTGAACTGGGGAGGGGGGGGGGGGGTTGGTTGGAGACCCTTGAGTTAGAGGAAGCTAATGGCAAGGCTTGACATTGTCATGCGTTTGCACAACCTCCCCTAAGATGTCTACAACAGCTGACACACCCCTGCAAAGCTGGAGGACAACCTCCGGAGAAACTGAGGCAGCAGAAGATTGGAGGGGGGTCTTCAAAACAGAAAGTTTTGGGGGGGGCGAGGGGGAACATGAACTGAACACAGGATGTGAAAAACAGAAATGGTGGTAGTTACAAATTTACGTGGATTTCGCCTGAAAGAGAAGTCACAATAATTTTACTGTTAGGGCAGAAACTCCTACTAGCCCAGCGGTGGCCAAGCTTATCCGCAAAGGGCCGGTGTGTATGCAGGTTTTTGGGATAACCTGTAGGTCAGCTGTTCAAACCCAGGTGTGGGGACTCTTTCAGCCAATCAGTCCTCTAATTAGTAATATAATTAGGGAGTGGCAGCGAAAACCTGCATACACACCGGCCCTTTGCGGATAAGATTGGCCACTCCTGTACTAGCCTATAGAGCAGAACAGGTCACTGGTTAACACAACGAACGGTCTCAGACTAGCCCTTCTTCCACTTGACCAAACCAAATCATAAAACAGAGGTACTAGTAGAGAAAACTCTGGTCCTTGTAGATGAGAATCTCCCTTCATGTCCCAAAATGCCATTTTAAAAAGTACACAGTATAGACCAGGGGTAGCCAATCTTATCCGCAAGGGCCGGTGTGTATGCGGGTTTTCGCTGCAACTCCCTAATTATATTACTAATTAGAGGACTGATTGGCTGAAAGAGTCCTCACATCTGGGTTTGAACAGCTGACCTACAGGTTATCCCAAAAACCTGCATACACACCGGCTCTTTGCGGATAAGATTGGCCACCCCTGGTATAGACACACAGAAGACCCAGCTCGTTTCCCTGTAATTACTCATGATGACTAATAGCATCCAAAAAACTCCCACTAACTTTCCAGTATTGCACAGAGATCAGGTTTATCACTGCATATGTGGTACTTTAAGGGTTATAGCCTTTGCTGTGCTATGAGCACAAAAGTCATTCGACCCATCGCGCATCATACTGCCTCCTGGTATGGAAAGAATCTCAGTGTGTAGGGGTAGTGCAGTCAGCCCTCCGTGCCTGTAAACCAAAAGGCTGCTGGTTCAAATCTTGTGGACAGCAGAGTGATTTCACCATTGGGGCCTTAGCTTCAATCGCTCCAAGTTTGCTGCTTTGTCTGGTATAAATAAACAACATGTAAGTCACCTTGAAGGTTTCTTCAGGTGTGACCCGTGATCCGAGACAAACTATGTTCTGCACAAAGTATTACATACTCCTGACAGACAAGCACTAATCTAGATCAACACATTAAATACATTCCTGTTGACTGAAATGAAAATGAAAAGCATTTCTCTGCCCGACTGATCGAATCGCAGTAAGATCAACCTCACCTAATAATTGCTGCAAAAGTTAAGTGTCAAAGGCTTCAAAACAAACCCAACCACTGGGCCGAATTTCAGTATATCGTAATCAATTGTGGCCCAGAGTGACCAACACACCCTCCCAAGTCTACGACATTCTCTGACGATGATACAGTAAATCTTGGGAACTTTGACACATCAGCTGGATGCCCGTGACATGGTTATCAGATGGCAATCTTGTGCGACAGCTTGGGGGAGAGTCACGACCCACTTCCTGCCTTCCAAGCCGCAGCAGCTGCTTAGCACCATGATGCAGGGTCGCCAGCCAACATGCAAATTATTGCCCCCCCCCCCCAGCAACATCTATCTGAAAACTGAGTCACATTACAGGCCAAAGGTCACAGTGACTGAAGGTATCAGGGTCGCTGTCTGGTTCAGTGGGTTAGGACTCTGTCTACTCAGTAGGTTGCCGGTTCAAACCCCATTGCCTACAGAGCGATTTCACCGGTGAGCCCTTGAGCAAGTGCCTTAACCCCAGTTGCTCCAGGGGACTGTCTGACCCCACTGTCTCAATTTTATGTTGTGTTGGATAAGTGTCTATTAAATAGATCAATGCAATAGAAATACATGAGTAAACAGACAGTGAAATAATGAGGAACTGAGCTACAGGTAATTAAATGGGACTTTACTATGTATGTACTCCTTTTATGGTACAAAAGGGCTCCCCACGGTTATAGAAGCAGATACCACTGGCATTTCACATAAAGCACAGGACTAAGGCAACCTAAGAGGGGCAGAGGGGTGGGGGCAGCTGCTGGGGGAAAAGCTACTCCTTCTCAAACTGTTCAACATCCACACAACACAATTAATCCCACAAACACACAAAGCGACAGGTGACACCAGGTAATGGTTACCAGTGAAACTGGAAGCAAGATGTCCCCTGTGTGCCTTCACGGAATGGGGCGGGGGCTGTAATTACATAAGAGGCAATGACAATCGCGGCTTTAAGCTAATCTCCATTACTCACCCTGGGGTTACATCGGTAACCAGGCCAGGTGTAAATCACTAATCTAGAGAGACCTGATGTAACATGAACCAGGGACAGAAACGCAAGAAAAAGGGGGGCTGCACCTCCCCGCAGTCATCAGAGCTACAGAGAAGGTCAACGCTCCATCCTCGGGGGGGGGGGGCTTGATCAGATAAGGAAATGGACAAATGAGACTCATACTGATACAAGCGACCCAGGTCTGCGGTTCCGATGTCCAATAAAGGGGAAGGTGTCATCAACATGTGAAAGGAACAGAAAGATGCTCCAGTTTCTCTCAAACCAGACATGACCTGGTGCCCCGCCCCCCCACTAGGGACCGCATTATGAACACACAAATCCCAATGCAACTTACAAACAGCCATCAAGTCAAAACAAAGCAAAATACAAACAAACCTTTTGTGATTGTGTTTAAATAACCAAGTACAGCAGCTAGGACAACAGAATGCTCTCTGAATATCAGACAAAGGCTGTAAGAGTCCAGAAAAATGACCGTGACTTCCTGAGCAATGAACCATGCAGGAGAAAAGGCAGTATTGTCAGCCCTCTGTCGGGAAGACCCTCCTGGGACAGATCCAGCAGAAGCTGTGATCCCTGTTGCTATGACAACGACAAATCTGGCCCATTTGGTGCCAGGAGACAGGCCAAGGGTTTATTAATTGTGTGTGTGTGTGTGTGTGGCTACTGTCCTACGAGCAATCCAATGCAGGGACCGGCACACTGAAAACGAACACAAGATGGTGAAGCAATAGGCGATACTTCGCAATGAAACACGCCCGGCGCAACCACATCCTTAAGCACCGTCTGTTTTTGTCAATTGCCTCGCTATTATCATCTCCGGACACCTGACAGCCCTGATGTACACGCCGCAGGTACGACACAAATAACACGGTAGCCTTAACTACACAGAAGCCTTAGGCGGGCGAGATACGGAATAAAAATATCGGCGAGAGAAAGCCGCATCTACTATTACAGGTCTGAACTGCTCGCATAATATCACGTTATCTGGCAGGGAAACGCCTCCGCATTCAGGTTGTCGACCAAAAGCAAATTATTATTATTAATAATAATAGAAAAAATGTCGTTTCGAGTTTAAGTGTTAAAAAAGGTCGGAAAAACAACCCCCTCCTTCATTTAAAGGACAGACTGCATGGAGGAGACCTCGATAGCTGCCGCTACCTTCATCATCCCACATCCACCCCCCAGCAGCACCGACCACGGCTCACCCCAACCCTTCCCAAAGCACCAAAACACGCAAAGAGATCTACACGTGTTGTGCCACCCTATTCTAAGATAAATAGCCCTGGGATACACGTGTTTTTCCACACACGCAGATTTCTGGATATCGGACTAATTGCATGTTTTCTTATTCCCGGAGTAGCCAGATTTACCGACCCTGCCTTCGTACCAACGGCGTCTTCACTTACCTGTTTGCCCAAAGCGCTGTGTATCACCGCATTTGGAGACCCCGCATTTTTCACGCTTTCGGCTTACCCCCGCACTTCAGCCCCCTTTGATCGTTTTTCCCCCCTTCTTTTCCCCCCCCACCAGCTCAAATTTCAGCCACCGAGTCTCGACCGCTCATGTCCCAGCCGTCTGTGCTACTTTTCGAGGCAGAAGCGCTCCTACTTCTGCCAGCGACGTGAAACATCTACCCCAAGGCTGATCAAACCTGGTTTGCCTATAGCTACAGAAACACAAGAGCGCCGCGTAGCGACGGAGTCTATATTAGACGCGCAAATAAAGATACGAATTTTGCCCGAAAACAGCAATCTGACGTGAGAGAGCCGCAAAACGGATAGGTGAGGAGGCGGTAAGACCTGCGGATCGCGGTTGAATATGAAATTACAAATCTACAATGCATATTACCGCATCATCTCGTATCTGTCTCGCTAGCACAATGAGAGATGGTGTCTCCACTTTTTCACCCACTTTGCGGAAGTGGCGAGACTTGGTAGATCCGGCAAAACCAGAACGTTTCCCGAAAAGCAGAACCACGACATCCGTTTTTTGAATCGCGACTTAAATACAAAGAAATTGGTTAAAGTTATTGGGGCGAAAGCACTGAAAGAAGCACTTCCTTTAATAAAGCTGCAGGGCCGGAATTGTCTGTAATATTACGCAATGGCACGACAGTTAACTCGTTATTGAAAAGTATGGTTTGTGTGTCGAAACTTACATGCCATGTAATGCATGATTACCTTAGAAAATATTACCTTGGTAGGTTAAACCTTTGAATCGTATGGGATGAAACTTTGAAAAAGTTTGAGATTACATTCGGACGTAAATGGACGCTTCATTGCTTAAACAGCACTCTTTAACATTTAAATAGTAAGCTATAAAATAAGTCATAACACAAAGTTATCTTGATGTGAATCAGGCTACCTTAAGTATAACGACATTAAATCATATAAGTCCTTTTTAAGCAGCTGGCTGGTAGCTAGTTGGCGGTACCGGGGACGGACGGACGGGTTTAGCGCTTTTTTGGCTGTTCCGCTCCATTTGAACGTCGTATTGTATCCAGGTTTTGATGAAACGTAAATAATTTATACGCTGCTGTTTCAACTTCATCAGCCTATTACAAGCGGCCAATGTATGTTCGTTTCCCAATATTACATGGAAAAAAAGGAAAACGGGTCGTTTTCACCAATTTTACTAGACTAATCGTAAAGGGAAAATTGGAAAATCACTTTATTGTTCATTTGTGTTTGTTTATAGAAGTCAGAGTCGCCCCATCTGACTGGAGGTGGGTTGGGTTATACGTGCGCCATCTGTTACTGGTCAGGTTCATCGCAAAGACCACTCCTCCCACTAGATCATTACAGTACTGTTTCTCAAACCAGTCCTCGGGGACCCGCAGACTGTCCACGTTTTGCTCCCTCCCAACTCCCAGATCTTTGTTTCAGCCAGTTTAAATCCGCAGTTTCTTATCCTGAAGCGAAATATGAGCGTTGGGGTCTTACGGTTTGTGTAGTTATTGTGCTTCGCAGTTTTGCTGTACGGTATGAATATGAGTAAAATAGGTTGTTTGGTAGTAAATGAAAATGAACTATTTATCAAAGAAAATGAGATAATTTGATTTGAACTACATTATTATAATTTCAGTGATTGGTAAAAACGTTTTGGCGAGACGTATGCGGTGTGGCTCGTTGGTCTAGGGGTATGATTCTCGCTTCGGGTGCGAGAGGTCCCGGGTTCAAATCCCGGACGAGCCCTCATTATGAACATATTACTGTTGGGCCCCTTTGGCAAAGGCCCGAAGGAAGCTGTAATGCAAAGCTTTGCTCTCACCTCTATGTATGCTTTATGACTATGTCATAGGACAGCAAAGTTGGATAAGCAAAGACTGAAGTTCATTGTACTTCTGTGATATGACAATATGACAAATATTTGTCAAATATGACAAAGGCGGCATAGTCAATGTTGTCCTTAATGAGTGAATAGGCGCTATGTAATGTTCTGTCATCTGGGGTGTACCGTGAGCTTCCTGCAACTGTGATGTTATATAATAGTGTATATAATATTGGCTTGGATCCCTTTATATAGGTGATAAGGCGCTGGGTCAGAAGCACTGCGATGGACGGGGTGAGGCATGTAGGCAAGGCCTAGGTGTAGAAAAGCAGATTTGCAGCTTAGCTGCGACCTAATTTTTTGAAGTAGGCGAAGTCCCGTGAACAAACCCCGTTGGTCTTCAGAGAGATTCGCTTTTCAAGTCATCCCTACCAACACCTGTAGCGTGAGCGACATGATTACAACCGTATTTGCAAAACTATGCAAGAAGCGCTATTTTCATAATACACAACACAATGGTCCGTTCTCATAATATGAAACGAAGACCAAACGAATAACTGATAGCATTTTAAACACAAAGAAATACTGACTGCTGATTGTAATGTATATGGCATTCCCAAAAATAAATTTTGAGGTACGAAAAGAAAAGGTGACTTCTGCTATCAGAGTATGCCACAAGAGGGCGCAGGTCAATCAGCCAGTTTACTTGACCATGAGTTATTTGACGGTCTGGAGTCTGGACTTGTCACATGGTTGCTATCAGTTGGCCTTATGACGCCCTCGGCTCTGCCTGTCGTCTAATGGGTTCACCAGCAGTGTTCTTGGTCAAACTGGTGACTCCACATTTGTGTGAATGAGACAGACCTGTAAAAAACTAGGGTCCAACACAGGATATACTCTTCGAAGACAGGCTGTCGGTCACACTTTCAATTGGCTGATTGTTCACTAAAATGGATGGAATTCCATACCCACACAAAATCTTCATACTGAAGTGACTTATAGGTTGTAGTCAATGAAATGGCCCACACAACTGTACTTTTCTGGTAATTTATTTTTCTTGTAAAATAACGTGTCTGTACACAGCATTTTCTTTAAAAACTCTATACTTGTTAGATTTAAGGAAACATCTATGGCAAACGGCATATTAACATCTGTTTTTCCCTGGTAAGAACAAACATTAAAAAACACCACATGTAACACACAGGAAAATACCATGAAAGACAACTGCATAGCACTGCTCGAGACAACTAATGAAATGTATATATGCATGTTATTCTACATAAAAGATGAACATCTATTAATAATAGCAACAAGTGAGAATAATTTCCAGACAAATATGGCTTTTTCCCCACATTCCCCAATTGTCTTTCAACTGAATTGCTACTGCATCTAGAGCTTTATCTTCAGAGAGGCAATAAACCATCATAGATGCTTAAAATATGTCATATTAATAACTAAGGGCTGGGTAATCGTTCTAAGGTTGATCAGCTGTCTTCCAGTCAACTGTGATCTGTGATTGAAGAACCAATAAAATTAACTTGTTTAAAGCATTATTACTGAACCTGCTCCTCGACGACCCCTAGGCGGCCCACATTTATGCTCCCTCCCAGCTCCCAGTAGGATGCAAAAATGTGACCATCTGGCAGTTCCCAAGACCTGGGTTCAGAAACACTGGTTTAAATCATTTGTGTTTCTTGTCTCATTGCTCGACTGGCGTGGTTACTGATATGGCCTTGACCTCCCCGGGTGATTGGCCAAGCATGGACATGGCTGTCACACCCTCTAATTTAACACCAGTGTCACCTCACCCCTAGAGTACTGCCAAAGGACACAAGCCACCCAGATACTTGGAGCAGAGTGGCTCACTACATGGATGAATTGCCAAAGGCAGCCGGGCAAGGAGGGAGGGACTGAAGATTGGCTCTCAGACTCTCCCCTAGGGACCCCATTTGTAATATTTCACCAGCACACCTGATTCAACAGGAGATTCCTGAGGAGAGACTGGAGAACCCGGTTTATTACAGGAGAAGATTTTAATTTTAGGTGATTTAAGACTAAGTATAAACCTATTTATTACTAGTTTTCCATTGCTAAGACATCATTAGACTTTTTAAATAATGAGATAAAGATCCACTTCGGACTGCGGCGATCCAAAGCCCATTGGGCAAGCATAGGCCATAAGGCATTCCGCACAGTATGCCAGTCCGGTGCCAGGCATTCAGGCACAATCGTGCGCACGCTTTGGAAATCTAGGGTCACCAACTCACCTGAATGGTATACATGGAGAAGGAGACCCACACAACCATGTAAACTGTGCATGACTCGAGCTGTAAATGGGATTTCCCACTGAACCACCAGATCAGTGAAAATGTGACCAGTGTAGGAAATTCCTAAATCAGCTGGTTTAAATGTTTGCTGCTCAACAGTTACCTCTAGTGGCCAAGCATGGGCATGATTAAAAAAAAAAAAAAAGAGAGAAATGCAATGTGATAAAAAGAATAAGGATGTAGGTTTGGCTTCAACATAAAAAGGGACGAAGTTAGGCCTGAACCCCCCCCACCCCCCAAAACACACATGGTACTCTCACAATGTTGACAGGAACATGTCCCTACCTTCCTTACTCAAATCTACGCCCTTGTCGACGAACAAATATCGTGGAAGCGGTTTGGTAATTACAGCAAGGGTTATTCAGCAAGGATTATTCTAGGGGATACAAACAGTCAACAGCTTCATGCCCCAGTCACAAATTAACAACACTGCTGACAAACTGCATAAAATGAACTGCTTTAAATACAGCTGTTTTGCAATTACACTAAAGAACAATATTTTAATCAGAAATTACTGCTTTCTGTTAGTGCAAATTATACATTTCCAAATCAAAATTTCTGACATAATTATTATAATAAAACACTAATTGCAAGAACAGTTGTTTGTGGAAAAAAAACAACATAAAGATACAAAATTCTTAGTTGTTATCTCTACAGGAAGTAAAGACGGATTCCTCCAAGGAGATGCAAGAACCCAAAACCTGCTTAAATCTTATGTTGGGTGGCTTGCGATTAGCAACCAGGCCTGGATTGAACCACAAATGACTTTCATCCACCCAGGTTCTTATTCATTTGGATCCATGCCAGGCAGATGCAGTGAACATGCATGGTCACCAGTCCCGCTCTGTTGCAGGCTGGTTCTGCACCAGCTGCACCTAGAGGCCGCTGCAATGCGACGCACCCAAATGCACCTCCGCTGAGGAATGCCATGCAGGTGAGGTGCTTTAAGGGCTAAATCAGGGCTTTCCCACTGAGAACAGAGTAAACAGAGTTAATAATATTTACATTTGATTCCACATGCCTTTCTCAGCGTTCACTAACACAATGTGCTAGAGCAGAGAAAGAATTATTAATAAAAAATAATTACAGTGCGTAGCTGTTGGAAAACTGACACCCCAAATACTTCCTTGTACATATTTTATGTTCCCAAATAGCCCTTAACATGAAAAATAACAGGCCATAAAATATGTTGTTATAGATTTGATTCCTTAAAAAGTAGACCAAGAGAATACCCGAACATCCGCTGCTGCCATGTCATGGTAGGAATGTATCAAAATGACGACCACACTGGACCGGATCCAGGTCCTTTTAAAGTCTCCACCCAGAGAAGCACAGCAGTTCTCCAGCCTCGCCTATGTATTTTCAGTAAACTGCATGTTATATATATTTTATCCTTTATAACAACCAAAGGAGCGACTCCTTCCACTCATCAAGCTGAGGTCTTTCCAGCTCTGAGGGTCAGGAAAGGCTACAGCCAGACCATAACAACTTCCCAGGTCCTGCGTTTTTCATGGCTTTCGGGTGTCAAACGGGAATATCAGAGACCTAGACATTCCAGATGTCCGCCTGAGAGCCCACACGACCAAAACCGGGGGATGCATAAGATGATGTGCAAAGCTGGCCATTCCATTAATGAGGAGGGGGGGGGGGTTGTCATCCAATGGGGAAAAAGAGGATGTTTTTGTTTTGCCTGGCATAGGGAATGGAGGGGGACATAGTGCCCCATCACCTTTGGGGTGTGGGGGGGCACCAGATTCATGTTCATGAGTTCCATTTTGACCAGAGGCTCCACATCCCACCACATCCTGTATCTGACTTGAACTTCTAAAGAAGATCTGGAGATACCACTGGCCAGTGCAATCCGGCAAGCTGACAGTGCCCAGAAAGCACTAGATCATCATGACCGAGGATGGACTGTCCGTTACGACATTACGGCTACGGTGTGCCAAGTGCTTCTTGATTCATCACCACCATGCAGAAAAGGCATTCTACCACAATAACCAGACTAAAGGATTTAAGGCCACAAGAGATGCTTCATACCCGCAAAGGTCTCCAAAGTGCAGTTTTCAGTATCCCAGATAAACCATAGTTTCTCTTTCTGAGTAGTATTAGTGCATGAGCCCCACAGCGTGGTAGAAAATTAATCTGTTAGTCTCGTTCCCAGACCGCTGTGTCACCGCTGCTGATGCCGAGCACCGGAGCCGTGTCAGTGGAAACGCTCCGAGCGGAACGAGTCCTCCACAGCGGGGTCAGCCAGCACCAGCTCCCCATCTTCCAGGAGGCCGAGGCCCTCCAGCACCAGGGGGTCCATCCGCAGGGGATCGTCCAGGCCGAAGGGGTCCCCCTCGAATCCAGGCATGCTGGACAGGGTGCAAGTGATTTCCTTGGATAGCACTGGCGTTGAATTCCCTGTGTAGGTGGGAGAGAATGATGCGGGTCAATTACGTTAATAACTCTGTGTTTATGGGTACACTGCTACATTTTGACAGCTCATGTTGAGCTTTGTGTTTGTGGGGGCTAGACGATGGACAAAAATAGACAGAAACTGGTGGATATTCCCTCCTAACATGGTTCTGCAAGTCTACTTTCTACAGGCTGTGTCCTTTTGAGTTGATGTTCATCTGCTGGCAGTGAGGGAAGAAACTGAAGCATCAAGCTTGACTGACTGCGAAATCAGTCCAAAGTGCTGTACCGGCCATCGTAGGTAAAAAGGGGATACAGATAAATGTTCTAAAGCAGTGCTTGAAATGGGGGGAAAAGGTGGTACAGGGCGGATTATGGGAAGTACTGTAGGCAAGAAATGTTCCCTATAGCCTGAAGAGAAACCTAAGAACGTCAAGCTAAGCTGAAGCTAAGAAGGATCCATACATGCCAGACAAGAAATATACCAATATAACAGCCTAAATCCAAAGGGTGAAGGTGTCTCTTCAATCTCGATCTCACCACTCAGCAGTATATTGGGGTTTTTGTGGCTGCCTGTGCTGAAGTTCTGGCTCTGGTTCTGCTGGTTCAAGAGCTGATGGATAGTGGCGGAGTGAGAGTCCATGGGGCTGGCTTCATCCTTCCCTGTTTCAGAGCCACCGGCCTGGCCGAAGGACCGGTCGCTCCCTGACGTCTCCATGTAGAACCTCCTCAGCTAAGAACATGGGCAGTGAGAGGAAAGGTGTCCATTAAAAGCGTAAGGATGTAGAGGGAAGCCTGGGTGATCAGGTTAAAGGGCCCAACAATGAAATCAACAACCAGGGGATTTGACCTAGTGACCTTCTGATCACAGGCAGAGTGTCCTAACCCGCTACACCACAAACTACCCCCAATCATACCATGTGGTGATTTCTACTCCATTTGAGCTCCATAGATTAACTGCTAATACTCTCTGGGTTAGAACTAGAGGTATATCAGTTAACATATCGGTATCGGCAAGACATTAGCATCAGTCTCTTGTGTCAATTTCGGTCTTGATCTTGGGTACTACTATCTGATATTTAGACTTTAGTCAATATTCAAAGTAAGCAGCATACAGATATAATCACTAAAATAATGGATTTTATCACACTGGACAATCAGTCATTTTCTGTCACAGAGGATGAGGGATTTTGTCGGCTCATTCATCACTTAGAACCTCGCCACAGTCTCCCAAGTCGGCGCTACTTTACTGATGTCTCCCTGCCTGCACTATATGATGTGGTCACTACACACATTCATGGGATGTTAAGTAATGTCCCCAACGTCAGCTTCACTACAGATTTGTGGAGTTCCGATGTTAGCCAGATATCGGTAATATGAGACAAAATCGGAGCACCGCTAGCTAGAACAGAAGAGGAGCAGTCATTTGGGTGAACTCCTTACTTGCTGAGACAGCTCCTGGCCCTGTCTGCCTGGAAGCCGCAGGTTCACAAAAGGTTCATCTAGCAGAGAGCTCAGCAATGAGGCCTCCTGTTGGAGAGAAGAGAAACATGGGGGAAGAGGAACGCTAGAGAAAAACGTAGGATAGAATTGGCTGTTCAGGGAACTTGTGGGCCGCCCTTACGCTCTGAAGGTCCAAGTTGGCAGGCAGAGATTGACTGGCTGATGGAGGCAGGCCGGCTGTGAGGAGCTGGTCCATTGTCGCCTGCGGATTTGGAACACTCAAAGGCGGTCTCCCTGTGAGAGCCCGGCCGCAGTTCAGGCCCGGTTGTGATGCAGACTCGGGCGCCCTTCTCTGCGGGCTTAGCAGGTTCTGCGAGCTCTCCATATGCAGAGGCAAAGTCGCGGGAACCCTGTGCATGCCTGGTACCTGCCGCTGCTGTTCCAGGCCACGGTGCGGTGCCTGAACTTGCAACTGGTTCTGTGGTTGCTGCTGCGGTTGAAACTGCAGCCATTGTGGCTGCTGACTAGCGTTGTGTAGGCCAGGCAGCTGTGGGTACTGTTGGTGTTGCGGCTCTAGATGCTGTTGACCAGACTGGTGCAGCCCAGACTGCTGTAGGTGCTGTTGCTGGTGGTGTTCCTGTTCCTGCTGCTGCTGCTGTATAATTTGGTGCTGCTGTTGGTCTTGCTGCAGATTTGTTTGTTTCTGGTACGGTAGCTGGTGTTTATGCTGCTGTTGGTGCTGTTGCTGTTTCTGCAGCTGTGGCTGCTCTAAGTTCTGCTGCTGTAGGTGATGTTGCTGTTGGTGTTGGTGCTGCTGTAGATGATGCTGTTGTTGCTGTTGTGGATGATGCTGCGGTTGGTGCTGTAGGTCAGACTGTTGCGGCTGCTGTAGATGCGTCATCATTGTACCTGGGTGGGCGGACTGCTGAGGACACAGGTGGGACTGCTGGACCTGACCGTAAGGATAGGATGGTAGCCTCTGATCCACTGGCAGTTTGCTTGTATCCAGAGCAACTCCCTACAAAGGCAAGGAGGTATGGTCTCTCAGTTCGAACACACAAGAAGAAACACAACAATGGGTACAGATTAATTATAATTACAAACATGGGCTACCGGAATGTAATATACATTATGAAACATATATTAGCAAGCAAAAGAAAATGCTTGTTTTCGCAAAACATCACTGCTAATAAATATCGAACATGTGTCAACAAGGATTACTTGGCGTTCTTCTTTAGTAGATCCCTAAATTCATTCTAAATAATGATACAAACATACAACTTTAAATATTATAAAGTACAATTTCTAAGCCAATCACAGTGGTCACGCTACCTGTGTTATTGATGACAATGTTGGGGACATGGTTGGGGAAAACTGCTTTGAGGGATGCCAACGAGATTCTGTGCCAACGGATAATTTGAGCGGGCTGAGCTGGTTTCGCCTCCGCGGTGATGTGGTGAGCGATGGCCCTTGCTGCCCCCCCAGAAGTGAAGAATAGGAGGAAGAGGAGGAACAAGATCCGGAACCACCTATCCCACTACTGAAGCTGTGGTTATTGGCCGCTGATTGGAGGGATTTGCCACTGAGGGAGGAGCTACTGAGGGAGGAATGCAGAGACTGGTTGCTGAGAGAGGAAGGCAAAGATGGGGAGGAGCTTAGAGAGGACTGAAGAGATGGGTTGCTAAGTGACGACTGCAAGGAGGTGGAGCTCAGGGAATCATGGGAGGAATGGCAGCTCAGAGATGACTGGATGTTGGGATGGCTCAACGAGGACTGAAGCATAGAGTTACTGAATGTTCCTTGTAGAGGCGTTGACAAGCCTGTCAGAGAAAAACAGAAAGAGGAGAAAAAAGATGAACAGAAAGTAGTCTTGGCCAGCCAGCTTACTGACAGAATGTGGTAGTGTACACTTTTCACTACAGAAGCACGAGACTCTGAAAAACATCAGAAGCTGAACCAAATATAAAACACAATTTAAATCAAGATTTGTGTCTTTGCTTAAAAGGAATGCTAGTGTATTTAATGGTCTTGGGCATTTCTGATGTTAGAGAGGCTAGCATACCAAACAGATTGAGTCAAAAGACATAACTGTTCTTAGATAAAGAACCATCCATGCTGCAGGTCACAGGTTGGACACAGGTTGTTATGGAGAGGAAAAAAACAAACATTAACAGCAGATGGGCTTTCAAACCAAAGTTATGGAAAACTACAAACATTTGTGGAAAGTTAAAGCAGAATCCCAGGAAGACAGGAGGGATTCCTGGAACGCTAAGTGTAGCCCGCCGCTGATTCACCGCCCTCTTCATCTCTCACATTACATCTTGTGTAAGAATGTGCGATTGTAAAAGCGCCGTTCTGCACCCCAGGATCACCAGGGGGCGCCAGCACTCACCAGGCAGGCTGAAGGTGCCGTCCGCGGTGATGCCCAGCTGGGTGAGAGTGGCCGCCAAGTTGCCCGTGCTGCCGCCCCCACACAGGGAGGCGCACCCCAGCTCCTCCTTTTGGGAGGGCATCGGGGAGGGGAGGTGCAGGTTGGTGAGGTCTGGCAGGGAACCTCCGGTGCTCAGGGTCGCCGGATTGAGGGGGGTGCCTGACTGCTGTGCCGGTGATGGTAGAATGCTGGGGGGGGGGCAATAAGAGATGGAAAGGGAGACGGGATCACGTCAACAGCTCTGAACCAGCGCAATTTACATACACAGGGAGAACTTATACTTTTTGTGCTAAGAATACAAAGGTGGTATGTAGCTGCAGTGCGAGTTAAGCGTGGGGTTACGTCGGGCTGACAAGGGAGCAGAACTGCTCTCTCTAATCTTCTTGACGTAAACCTGACACCCTGTTCTGGTCCATTTCGTTCGGCTGGTTCCCCATGAAAGCATTTCATGGACTGAACTGGATACATTACACTGGCGATGGCGACAGGAACTTCAACTGGTCCAGAGCCTAACACTCTCTACCAGAAAGTCCCACTGATTAATGCTACATAATTAAACATTAAGCTTTAATTAAGGAACAAGGCATTACAAATCTGAGAAAAAGTTTGTGAACCCACACGGTATGACGATGATTTCCGCCAGAAGTCAGAATAATGCTTCCTATTTAACAAACTCACGGCAAATGTCAAATGTTTACTGAGGTCTTTTTAACAAACAAGGAAATTGATGGAAAACCCATGAATCCTTAAGTTCCCAGCCTGCTGTAGCTGATCACACCAGCACAGCAGTTTAGGAGGTATTTTGGCTCTTACTGTACAAAAAAAAAACAAAACAAAAAACTGTTAATTCCATGTGGTTCTTCTTCAGCGGCCTGCTTGGGACAGCCCTTAAAAGACTGACTCGCCCGTTCTAAGATTTCTTCTGTTGAGTCACACTATCATTGAGCTACTCCTGCATTCGGGATCACTGTCATGTTGCATGACAGGGCGATTCTTTTGCATTTTAGATCGCACGCAGATATCCTGCCGCAGAATTTCCTAACGCTGCTCTCTCACTGACTGCAACTTAGGCCCTGAGGCAGCAAAGCAGGTCCACGGCACGATACTCCATCCGCCGCACTGCACAGCTGGGATGAGGTTTTACTCTTGCTGAGTACATTTAGCAAAAGGTCAAATGTCTCATCTGTCGCATCACACGGATCCAGTGGGGAGCATCCAAGTGGTAGCTAACTTGAGCTGGTCGGCAGGGAGACCAGGTGGTTTCCTCTCTGGTAACATCCCTTGAACACCACAGTTGCTCAATGTACTTATGGTAGATTTAAGAATAGAGATGTTAACTATAGGATTTACCTATAGGGGGCACCAGAGAGTATGGGTCACGTGTCACTTGAGGATTTTACAGCACGCCCTGACACTCCTCTCTGTAGGAGACCCACCTCTATGCCCCTATTCCTCCACAAGTAAAGCCTTGTGCTAAGAATACGAAGGTCATGGGTTCAAACCCCAGGGAGTACAAATAAATTGTAGCCCCTCCCTCAACTGCAAGTCCCTTTACATAAAAGCTAGCGTTAAATAATTCATTCACACTGTATGACTTAAATTAATTAATCAAAACAAGACCCAAATGATTAGTTTAGCTCAGATGTTTTAACAGCCGTAGTCTGAGTTTTAGAATTCTATACATCAGAACAGTCCAGGGCAACATTTTCCAAAACTTTCATAGTATTATGCTCATCATATATTTAGAGAGAGAATTCAGTATGATGACCCCCAGACAGATTAGGTCAGATTAGCCCCTGAAGTCTTAAGATGCCATCAACGCCCTACTGTGGACTGATACAGGTCCAAGTTTTGAGAAATCCATTGGTAACCCATTCCAGTATTATGAGCTTTCACGACACTTTGTGGAAGGTCTCTTTTCATTGGACCATACTGCACTCCAATAGAATTCTGCTGTGAAGGTCAAGTAAGTGAAATGTAATGTATATAGCAAGGCAGGTCAATTTTATACCTGAATTAACTCTAACACCTAAATCCAATTACCCTGTTTTCAAGTTCTCATGACCTACACTTCTGCCATCAATTACCCTGTTTAAACCACTTTGGCAACAAAGATTTGGCATATGAAATGTTGTACGCATACTTTAAGCAAGACTAATTTGACTCAGCTTAACATCAGATCACATATTAGGAGCCACTTATGTGGAAATCCAGATGATTTCAAAGGGTTCACAAACTTTTTCAAGTGTATTAACTGCTAGCCATTTAATACTTGGCTAATTTAACTGTAGATATCCCAAGAAATCAAACTGAATTAAGTAGCCCTGCTCTGTTAACTCTTGTACTATAAGCACCTATGGACCCTACACTCAATGTGCAAATAGGACTTGCTGGCATGAAAACAATAATAACCATTTATCTGGCATTGTTGTTTTCAGAAAATTAGCATTTTTGTGGCTACTTACTTGATTCCCGGGACTTCACAGGATTTAGGTCGAGATGTTGGCGCAGTTAGCTGTAAACAAGTAAAACAGTAGATATTTTTCATGATGTAATGACATCTGCACTTACAAATGAGTTGAATTAAACAATATCTGTTATCTTAACAATCAAACACTGAGCATCTCATTTCATTCACCAGCATTCCCGGGAGACGACGTCTCATTTGCATATTGTGACTCGATTGGCTACAGATCCATACCCCTAACTTAACTGGCTCACCTTCTTGGCGTCCCAGGACTTGAGCAGGCTCTCCTCATCCAGAACATTCTCCTCAATGGGGGGCACCGGGTAGGGGAACACTGGTCCAAGAGGAGGGGTAACAACTTGGGTTGAAGGACAGGTAGGAGACCCCCTATGCAGTAACTATGGACCCCAAGGCATTGCTATGATAGGTATATAGAGACAGACTGGCCTTGCATACCTCTCACACACACACACACACACACACACACAAAGCCTGACATGCAGACTATATTCAGATGCCTCCTTGTTGGTTGCCCTAAAACACGCGAGGTCACCAAGGCTGACATGGGTGGCCGGCACTCACTGCTTCGCCGGTTCCGATGGGTCAGGGCGTGTCCCGGGCTGGAATGGATCCCAGCATGCGGGTTCATGACACTGGTATGCAGGGCAGAGTCAGAGTTTGTCCTGCGACAGGGGAGCCAGAATAAGGGGGGAAATTTAGGCAAGGAATGGAAGACTGAGAGGTCACCGAAATGGGGAACAAACACGAAAATGACAACCGTGTTCCTCCACCACGTCACCCGGAAATTTCTCTCACCCCCCTCCCCCCATTTCTTGTCTTTCATCTCTTGCACATTTATCCATGCAGAATAATTACATCACTTCACCCCCCCCCCCCCCCCCCCCCAAAAAAAAAAAAAAGACTGTAAATACTGGAATGGAAACAGGGCAATATAGGCTATTCCACTCCAAGCCTAGGACACGTCTTGTTGAGGCATATGATCTGAAACGGCAAAAGCCAAACGGACTGCTCCAGCCATCCGACTATCCACTGATCACTGAACGCGATAATCAATCGAACGCCTTCCATGATATTATCGCACGGGCTGAAATAGAGCTCCGCGTTGGAAACCAAACTAGCTTCCAACATCCCCACACCCTGCAGCAAAACCAGTTTCCTTGGCAACTCAAAGAGAGGAAGGGGGGGGGGGGGCACCACAAACTGAATTATGCAGAGATGAAGGGTGATATTCTCTGTGGTCTAGGCAAGCCGGATGTTCCGTGAGAGGAATAAAGATGACTGCTCACGGCAAGCCTAAGACAACGACAGTATCGGGGGGGGGGGGGGGGGGGGGGGGGGGTAGGAAAGGAGGAGAGGAGCTGGTTTCACCTGTTGAGTGTGACGCCAGCCAGCGACTGGGATTTATCCGCCGGCGCATCGGGGGACCAGTGCCTTGGTGACCGACAGAGAGACGAGGGCGTTAATTTCCGAAACCTCCTCCAAGAACAAACTGATAAACGATGAGACGGAGCCCAAGGAGCGGAGGTGGTGAAGGAAAGGTAGCGGGAGGCGAAGCTGAGAGAAGGGGAGGATGAGAGCGCCATGGCGACGGCCCCCCTGAGGGGACGCGGGGGCCAGAGCCATCGCAGCCTTTCCAGCCGGTTGCTTAGCCCTCATGCTTCCTGAAAGCCCTTCTGTTCGTTTTGCCTGACTCTTAAGGGGATTACTGACTCGCAAACTCATGAAAATGTATGAATCTCTTGTAATGGTTCATCTGACAAAACAGGGGATAGAAACAGATTAAATATTCAACTTCAATCCATAAGGCTAAAAGAGGCGCTCTACAATCTCCGAAATGATTTCCCAAAAAAAAAAAAAAAAATCTACTTTTGACTGATGCTCATCCATGAACAACGATAGGGTTTACCTCCACTCAAGTCACGCATCTGCATGGGCGGCCACAAACAGGACTACACTAGAGAGGGCAGGGGGCCCCAAAGTGACTGTATGAGTGGGGGCCACTGAAACTGCCCCATCAAGACAGGAAATTGCACCATGCGCTTCATATATTTCATGACAAATGGTGGGGGCCAATGCCGCAAGTATGACTGCATCTGCGGTGTGTATCTGAGCGAGCACATCGGCCCCCACATGTTCTTGCCTACTGTTGCTGCAGCGCAGCCATGCCGATTTGTTGTTGACGTACTTTTTAAAAAGAAATTTTTAACCGAAGTCTTTTTAATTAGTCAAGAGGAAGCCCGTGGATATCTCAAAGAACAATAACACTGAAGCTCGAAATGTTAGTGAAACCTAATGGAACGAGACCATTGGTCAAGCTGCAATCTCTGTGGTTAAAGACTGACCAGACTCACACGGTCAGTGCCGCCCCATCGCCGAGGCCAATATTCGGCACTCTGTAGTAGGCAGGAAAACATTTATTCTTTTTTGTCGATCCCAATCTGAAGAAAGTGAACCGGCGAGATCAAGACAACGGATGTCCCTTCACTCCAGATGTTAGTTGAGGGAGACATCGGAAAGATGGCAGGAAGGGAAAGTAAACGAGCGACGCCGGAGGGAGGAAAGAGGAGCGAGGTCCGACGACACGGCAGCACCCGGTTAGCGAGCCACCGAGCCAGAACAGCGGCTGTGTGGGCAAGAGGAAAAACACTCAAGGAAAGGAATATCCCAGGGAAGTTACCTTCTCCAGCTGAGGCTGGGGGCTGGCGACAGGTAAGCGGAGCTGTATGTAGGGCAGTCCCGCTGAGAGCAGCTGGTTAAGGCATCACCAAAATCACACGTAGTGATAGACACGTCATCATAACAGTTCTTTACACATCAGTGGCACAAATACAAACAGTAAACAAGCAGACCCACAGCAAAGGCAAGAATTTGACTTTTTGCAGAATATTTTGTATTAATGTTATTCAGATTATATCATTTAACTAGACTAAAATTTTGTCTAGTTAAATTTGGCAATATTTCCACATCTTCTGAAACCGATGATTTTAGACAAGACAAAACTCCGGGAAAATAACCGACTGATGCTTTTGTAGACCCACGTGAAAATCCCATGGTGGAGCCCCCACATCAAAGGTAACTCCGCTCGAAACCTTTCCCACGCAACTTTAGAGGGTTAGGATACTCGTCTCCTATAGGGGGCACCAGAGAGCACGGGTCGCCGGTCCCTCTGAACTCGCTCCACCAGGCCGTGGTGCCTCGTCTGTCGTGCGGAGTCCAGATCAGATATGAACTGACCCTGGGCGAGAGCACATGGGAGAAACTGAGAGCTACGCTGAGGCACGACAATCATTCACTTTCCAAACAATGAACATGCATTTAGTTACTTGAAATTACTGACCCATGGGAGCATCTACTCACACTGTACCCTCCATGCTTATAATTTAATTCTGCAGCCCTAAAGGCAGCACTAAACTTAGCACACGATATCATACTAGACTTCAGTTCCTCTGCGGTTGCATTCTAGGAAAGATGGCCAGAGAGATCACTTGCACAGTTTGGCTCCAGCAACTTATTCTAGTTCAATTTACGGATTTTTTCAGGCCTTCTTCTAAACAAAAACCCTTCAGGGTACATGCAGCATTAAAATGGCCGACGGCCCTGTGTCTCACCTGAAACTCTGGGTTGGACCTGCCGATCTGGTTGACGTTGGGCAGGGACCCTCCGTAACACGGACCCTGGTTCTGAGCCAGACGTTCCTTCTGTGCCTGAATCTGGCGAACAGAGGAAAGTGAAGATTAAACACAAAAATAGCTCTCAGTCTAAAAAAGTGCAGGTTTGCCACTAGCTAGAACTAACCCTATAGCAATGTCTCTGATATGGAGAAATTGACGCTATTCTTCCTAGAAAGGCTCCCAAATGTCCCAAGTGTTTGACATTTGATTTTTATTATTAAATTTCATTAAACTACTGCTGGCCACTTAACATGAACCATGTGTGAGCTAGAACAAGCACTGTTTCAACTAAAGACAAAATAATATGATCCATCCATTTGTTTCCCCCTAAACATTTATCCAGTGCAGGCTTGAGGTAGTTCAGGACCCCCACCCTGGAAGGGACAACATACAATCTCCACACCCACAGAGAAGAATCGGGATTCAAAACCACAATGCTGGATGCGTGATGCCACAGAGTCGCCACCACAACAACAATAATAATAATAATATAATCCTCATTGTTTATAATGCAATATTTGTAAAAAATAAATTCACCATTTGCATCATGGCTAATTAACACACAAACAACAAGCACTGAGCTACCATTACCATGGCAACCATAGAATATTAGTTCACCAATGACATGACACATCGCTCAGGTACATTGTACACCCCCCCTCATTTGATTTCATGAAATTATTACCAAATACTTTTTGACCAATAATAAATGAGGAAGAGAATACGCGTAACATATTACGAAATAAGGCAGATGCCGAATCAAATCTTTAACACAGCGAGGTGCAGAAATTTAAGTAAAACTAACGTACATTTACAATTAAATGTAGTTAAGCAAGTTCTTGTCAGACCTGTACTGCTTTATATCAAAACAGATCTAAATTTGCGTTACGCAATTTTAGCAGAAAGTGCTAAAAATGCATATAGCCCAGTGTCACAGGCAGGAAATGAATATTTAAATGCTGAATGAAATATTACCGTCCAGACAAACAGTGCGTTTACGCTGAATAATGTATTTTCACTCTTCATTTGGGTTTATTATTACGTTAACCACCAACGCAGTTCGTGAACTGGAAGCACTGGCACAGGCCATGGTTAACAGCTCCAGAACCCTTTGTAAAGCAAGCTAAAGAAACTCCGGCTAACTGCAAAATCTTATTCGCGCTTTTTCGTCTAGGACCACGTAGAGCTAAAATAAACGCAAACGTTGGCAGATTTCACAATTAGGCCTAAAACATGTACATAAACCATTAATGGTTTATATATATATATATATATATATATATATATATATATATATATATATATATATATATATATATTATAGATACAGTTTATCTGTATACAGATTATACATCCGGAATGAATCCAGAAAAGAAAAACAGAGGCCGTTTATATTATATGTAAGTTTGAGAGAACAATTCAGAAAAGCATCAGGCTACTTCATTGAAGAGGAACCATGATCGCTTTGGTCATAATCAGCTATTCTTTGTATCCCTTATAAATGATCATTCTCTGGGGGTTTTTAGCGTGGGGTTTTAGGAAAGCAGAAAGCGAGAAGTGAGATTAGTCAACGTATGCCTGCTGGGGACATAAATACACAAAATGTTCAAAAATAAATCCTGAAATTCAATCTCCATCTTGTTCATTGTTCAAAAGAGTCATTTCCTTGCATGGCACACGGAAACGTAATTTACTGTCTGCGTCTCATAAGCTATAAAACAGCTCCATAAGGGAGGCGAGATGTGCTCCTACTAAAAATATTAGTATTTGATTTATTTAAAACCGTGTGTCTGGCCGTCGTACTCAGAGCAGTTTAACAGGTGTGAACTTCCAGCGTCCGTCAGGCGGGCGGGCGGGCGAGTCTGCGCGCTCCCTCCGCGCTCCATCCGCGGTCCCTCCACGCTCAGCATTGCCTCTCATGCGCCGTTTTCTTTCCCGTTCCCGTTGACACACTGATGCGGTTTTAGACGCTCCGCGGTCAGATGAAACGTTTGCTTTTGAAACGGGTCAAATCAGTGTGGAGACGTCTATACGGCAGAGCTGATGGTTTTTTTTTTTTTTTACTGCTGGAGAAGCACACTTAAGTTCACTCACTATCTTTACATTTTAGATACATTCTCCATTGTAAACTGAATTTTTCTTTACCGACTGCATTTCAATTTCGGCAAATATGGCATTTGTTTGAGCATTTGTAATGTAGGCTGCAATAGCAATGTAGCCTATCTGCAAAGAAATTTCTAAATTCTGAATTTATCAATTATAATTTTGTACCTGGTGTTATGGGATCACTTTAAAAACATTTTTTTTTGCAATGATTGACGCTGTTATGCATTACATAGACGTAAAGGCTAGCCATTGCCTGAGTCAGTAATTCACTCATGAAGAACTGACAGAAAGAACCAATATATTCTCGGTATGACTATTTTCTTGTTCCGAATTTCCTCCTTTAAGAGGGTGTTTTTTTATTTCGAAGAATTGCGCACAACTCACTTCGTTTTAAGTGCCACTTTAACGCTCCTCCCTTTCTTGTCAATGGTGATAGTTCTGAAGTTTATGGGCATCATTATTCACTAAGACTGCTGCCGTTATTACTGTGTTCAGGGTTGCCAACTTTGGTCAGCTGGCTGGCGTGAGATTTTCAATTCAAGACAAGTCTGCACGCGCATTTACATGTAGGTCTATGTAACAGTTCTGTTACCATGTAAAAGGTCTGTAGGGATTGCAAACGACCCCCAGCATTTTTGATTTAGCTCATTTTAGGTTTATAATGGAATGACATGCTAATTTTGCCGTAAGAGTATGAAAACGTGAGTGTCACGCCAGATGCGTGAGAGTTGGCAATCCTGCTCTGCTGTGAACAAGTTTTCATTGTGGGAGGAAAGACGGAGAAATTCATCCAAAAAGGCGGAGGATATGGAAACTGGGCGGGATTACAACTCACAACCCTCCCGGTAGGAGGCGACAGCGTCTTCCCATTCTCCATTCGGAAAAACATATCGATTACTATTCTTTACGCGCAGGGCGGCTTCGGCAATTACATTTCCGTATGAACAGGCAAATGCACTGTGACGGCATCTTACAAAACGGGAGCGAATCCGTCAAGCCGACGTAAACTGATCCTCGCTGAACAACAAGGCTGCAAATTATCTGGGATGAAACGGTGAGCGTGAAAATTAACAGGGTTAAGTTACGGCCACGCTGAAAATCAGAAGGCTACAATATCCTAATACATTCTAATATACAATATCACAATATACCATAATATGCAATATCTTAATAAATCCTAATATACAATATCCGCATGCATGCTAATGTATATTACGTAACGGGAGAGGGCGAGGTTTTTGTATGACACATTCCATGTGTAAACGAAATGTGAATATTTTAAGAGTGTTACTAATAGCTCTAACCTGTACACAGAATTAAGGTGCTGAAAATCATCTGACATAACACAGCTGCTAATAAAACTTCAAAACAAATCCGTGCAGACCAGATGGACATTAAAACTAAATGCGCCGTTTATCAAGTTGTGTTCACGGATTGACAACTATTTACAGTCAGCGGAAATGTACTTTTCATGCACATACAAATCTCATCTGTTTCAGTGATAATAACAACGCTGCTGGCAGCCTGTTCCCAACACAAAATAATGTATAAGAAGCACCTCGATGAAAAATGTCACTAAGCGCTTTGTTTTAATATCGCCCGCGGATGAGACTGTGGCACTACAATAATATTGGTCTGTGCCACACTGGCTGCAGACGGCTCGTTATTCGGCTTACAGAGTGACAGCACCCCAATCAATGTGCGCCCTGACTACGGAACGGGGCACGCGCCTGTTGCGCCAGGCGGCTATGTGACTTTGCTAACTTTGCCTAAGTGGTTAGTTGGACACTTCATAAAGGCACCGGTCTCCTTTCTATCACAACTTCCTCGTCAGTACCAGACATCCCGGCCTTCCCTTTGACAGCTACCCAAGAGGCCTGTCCTTCTCTGGGTCCACGCACCCCGCCGCCTCCTCCGACCTCGACTTACCCGAGTTGATGTAATGTCCAGCATGACCTCCTGGAAGGCGGCCGTCTCTTCTGCCTGTCGCTGGTTATGCAGGGCGATCTTTTCGCTGAACTTTCGGGGGTTACAGGTCCCAGAAGCAGCACCCGGACTGGGTCCGGGTCTGCAGCCGCCCGTACCCATACCCGCCGCAGACATCTTTACTAGATTATGGAAGAGTTCGAAGGTGGAGCGTCTGCGGCGAAGGACGCGGAAGTGGACATCTCCCTATGCAACCACTCTGGGATTTGTAGTCCTTTAGCTTTGGCAAAGGCCTAGAACGAGTCGGGTGACCATATCCCTTGGAACTACAAACTTTAACTTTGCTGGGGTTTTTTTAAGGGACAATAATAACACGGTGGTGTATTGGATGTATAGTTTTGTTTCCACTGATTGTTGCGTCATGTATTTTGTATTTTTAAATCAGAATACGAAAATACATCAATGCGAAGTTGGAATGTGTAACAGTTTTACTGCATACATTTCATTTTTATAGGCCTAGCGGTATTCATACCTTTTAAGTTACCCATTGTGTATGTATTTATATGAAATAATCTTGTTTTATTAATCGATGCAGTGGTAAAAAGGATGGATCAGGGCATTTCTCGCATAAGCGTATTAATGCTAAATATGACTACTATGCTGATCCTCACTATACATGAAATAGAAATGTTTCTCATTTCACAGTGCAGTAATCCAGCATTTTTATTGATTGGCGTGTAGAATACATAAATAAAACTATAATACATAATTATTCATATTTCTTGAACTAAAGTTACAGTAGAATGACTGCATGAAAGAAAGACGCCGTGCAAAAGTAACAGTCACTATTGACACATTAAGACACCATCTATCAATTTAAGTCAGTTTAACCAGCAGACTCGTTAAATCGGTCAGCGGAATAGCTGCTGAAATCGCAATCGTTTGGTTTGGCTGCTGTACGCATATCAAACACTGGAGGGCGCCGCAGTCTCGCTTTTAGGAGATACTGACGCCTCCAAGTCATGTCTTCCATTTTACGACTCGTGTGTGTTATCTACGTGGGATCTAACACAGCTCCTCAAATTCATCTAGCACACCCCAACCCGTATCCGCACCAGCCTAGCAAACATTTTAAGACGTTTCATTTGTAAACACAACCAAGATATTCGTCTAGCATTTAATCACTGCGGTGTATTATTTTTTTGTCTTGTAGTGCTGTCAGTGATTTGCACCGATAGGTGTGTAATTGGTTTGCATGGGCAAGCTATTCGTAGACGTGGTCATCGCAATAGACTTCATATAATGCTTTGCGCTCTTAATCTGCCTTTCTTTGCTCGTTTATTGAATGCGTACATTCGTACTATACTAAAGTTTGCTATTTAAAATGAAATCGCGCCTCTAGTGTTGTAGTATTGAGGCTCACTTTAATTTTAAGCTTATGTAATGACAATTTTGGTGTTACGAATGATTGCGATGGGTAAGATTTTACAATTTTTTCTTGCGCTATTAATATGAATATCAGGGTTATGAATTACTTTTCGGTTACTTGAGGATTTTCAGTTACTTGTTCATAGCTCTTGAGAAAAAGAATTAAACGCCGAATTAGCCTAAACAGAAAGTCGGAAGTATACTTCCACAAATTATGAAATGAAGGCTCTAGCTGCCATTTAAAATGCATGTACAAGTATTCATGTTTGTTTGTTTATTCTTTTCGTTAACGTCATTAACATTTATAACAACCCCTTGGATTTTCTGTCATGCAAATTGAAGCGTGTGTACCATTACATTATTGACTCAGTCAACCATAATGAAGAGCTCGGGCGGATCGAAAACTGGATTAAACGTTGGAAGCAGGGCTGGGAAACGCGGAGCCAAAGGGCGTGCCCAATGGGTGCCGATCGTAGCCACAGGTTTCTATGAACCGTCAGTCCTGTTTTCTCGCTAATTACACATCATGGATGAATCCACAACTAGATGCCGAGATCTCTGTCAATTCAATAACAGTAATATTCCGTAAGGGACTTACGATAGTGTAAAACACAACATGCCAGTCCTGAATCATAAAATAAAATGTGTCACTCCTAGTCACTATTAATTATTTGTTATTTTTTATAATGAACTGGAATATCAAACTAGATCCATATATTACAATACCATGTTGTTGTAGTACGTGATGCAGGTGACAGGAAAAAGCTGTAGCCTTGGATGATAGGTCTAAGCAAAAGTTATGTAGGGAGTCATATAATGAGGAATAGCAATTACTCCTCCTTCTATTAAACACCAGGTTCCACCCCTAGGGTTTTTATAAGCAATGAACTGGACAGACTGGCTTAAAATGTACTTAAACATTGTTTGCAGTAAATACTGAATGTGACTCATACATTGTGAACTGCAATCATGTATTTTTCTCTCCATCCTTCCAGTGGCATGTTGGCCACCATCCCAGCACCAAAGAAGCTGACACGACTGGATTTGGGGGATCACACATTTATTGACCCTCATCAACTTTACAATAAAACCACCGACATCTTTAAATGTTAGCGAAATAAAAGAACGTAATCCGGTCAAACGTATTTACACATACGGATAACAGGCAGGTAAAAGCTTGCATTTTACACATGGAAACTCCACCCTCTTGGGAACGTGATTATGGGAACATCACTCTCGGATCTGCTTTAGCCAAGGAGGAAATTAAAATACATCGTAAACCAACAAAAAGCCCAAGACTTCATTTAATCTTTAAAATGTTTTATCAGTTCCTTTATACATCACAGAATACTTGAAATAGGGTAAAATATAGGAATACAGACTTTTAATCTTTAAAATGTTTTGTCAGTTCTTTTATACATCACAGAATATTTGAAATAGGGTAAAATATAGGAATACAGTGAGTCGGAATATGACCTGTATCTAGCTCCGCATATCAATCTTGGAAAAGCAGCCCTGCCCCCCCGGTCGTCGTCTGTGCTCCGGTCCCCAGATGCGAGAAAACAAAACGGCACACCACGGGAATAGACGTCTCTGCTAAAAACTGAGAAGAGCGACACTCTCACCCCATCCACAACCCTACGACTCACACCAAATGCTCCCCGGTGCACCCAGTCAGTGGAATGGTGACATTCTACATGAGGGAAATTTTACCAGAGCAGTGAACAGGTGGTCGCACGGATAATAGTATCTTTTTTCCATTTCTAGCATATCTGCCGAGCAAGTGTCTCTCACACACTCTAAATATATATATATATTTATATATATATATACACACGTATATATACATGCGTATATACATATATATACACACATATACATACACATATATAAATATATATATTTCTTTTGAAAAACAGTCCAGTCTTTTCTGACGTGATCACTCCTCCCGCTTCTCAGAGGGTGCTGGTGTTGAGCTGGCCTCCTCCACTGGCTTCGTGGCCTCAGTGGCGCCCTCTTCTGCCTTGACAGGCTCGGCGCTTGGTTTCTCCTCCGCCTCAGAGGGGGCCTCCTCCACAGCAGCCTCCTCGGCCTTGGGCTCTTCGGTCGGAGCGGCGGCCTCGCCCGGCGTCTCCTCCTTCTTCTCCTCGGCGGACTCTGGCTTCTCCTCCGCCGACGGGGAGGCGGCTTCCTCTTTGGCTCGCTTGGTCTTCTTCAGAGAGATCCCCTTGAACTTGAAGGAGTTCTTCAGAGAAAACTTCTTCTTCTTCTTCTTGGCCGTTTCCTTGGCGCCCTCGCCTTCCTGCTTGGCACCCTCGCCCTCAGCAGGGGGCGCTGGTTCTATGGCGTCGGCAGTCTCGGGTTCCTTTCCTGCCTCGGCTGAGCCGTTGGCAGCAGCTGTGTCCCCGCTGGCTTTGGCGTCCCCGTTTGTCTTGACATGGCCATTCTCCTACAAGGGCAAGGGTGGCAAAAAATTAATACATGTAACTGATTAATAATATAGGAAAATATTAGTGACGCGATCCATTAATCATTTCAGCTGTCTGATATTATAGCTGCAGATATGGTGTTGTTTTTAATCAAAACAAAATACTGAAATAATGGTTAGGGCAAAAAATGGTCCAAACCGAAAAAAAACCCAATCCAGCTGCACATTTTTGGGAAAGCCACAGAAAATGTCAAAATTAGCCTACATTTAATCGAATTTTCAGGGTTTCACGTCTAATCGAAATCGATACGAGGACTGCGCTCAGACAAAAAAAAAGTCAGTAGGCGACGCCTTGCAGTACCTCAGATGGACAGCAGCCGGCGCACTAGCGCAGTAAAACCATTATCGTACAAGACCTTTATCATCATCACCATCATCATCTTAGACAAAAGAATATACAAACACTCAATGAACCAGCCTGCGAATTTTATTTTTCCATTACTCAAGCTGGCCAGGTAAAAAATTAAGTTTGATTATATGGACATCCCACTTCTACATTTCCATTGTTCGTCAATACGCACGAAGATGTAAAGACGTATTTCAAGACGTATCAAATGTTACATTATAATACAAACTAATATTTGATTTTATTTCAAACAGTAACAAACAGCAGCCACCGCTCAGTTTAGTCTGCGAAACGCAGAGCGTGCGTATGATAATTTGGGGGGGGGGGTCTGCGCCGTTCCTATTTCACATGGCATTTGTCTGGCATCGTCGAAAACCTCTACTGTCTTACAGGTAGGCAGTCGTGTCATTTTTACCCCGTTCAGACTATCAAGAAAGTTTTTAACCCTGGGCAAAGAGAAGACAGGTGCAATAGTGATTTACCGTTTATATGTAAGCAAGTCCAATAGACAGACGGTGTCTCGGTGCGAGCGCGTCGTCGAGACAGACTATAGACTATACACTAACCAATACATCAACTGGTGAATAACCCATTCATTGTGCAGCAATTTAACACACAATAAAAAATATCCGTCATTGTTATTCAAAAACGTCCGCTCGGCTTTTTTTTTTAATTCATTCGACATTCACATCACTACTTTTCAGTGACGAAAAACCACCATCGGAATTCGACAGAAATTACGGTCTATTAAACTCCAGGCATATACCGCCCGCTAATTTTTCTGAACAAATGTGGGCAAGGAATCACTTTTTTATCTCAGCACCAACAACCAGTTCACATCTGTTGCACAGAGAAACGGTTCCCTACCTGCCCATTGGTCTTGGCTGCAGCAGGATCAGCACCAGCAGCCTGTCCATCGACAGCTACTCCTCCCTTGGACGCCTGG